AATCTAGGGATACGGAACTTAGTAATAGTAGCTAAAGTAATAACTTAAAATATCCGCCCCCCCTAAGAAATTTAAAAAATAAAAAAGATCTTACCCCCTATATTAATAAATTAAATTATAATAAAATCGATAATATTAATTACTTATTTTTTATACCGTTAATTTCTAAAAAATATACGAGGCTAAATAAATAAAAAGTAATAAAAGCTCTTAATAAATAAGCTTTTATTTATAAATAGTAAGGGAAGGTCCTTTAAATAATAAATATAAAAATAGATAAAAGGACGAATTTAATAATATAAAATTCTATTTTCTTAATATTTAAAAAGAAAATATTACTTTTATTAATATTAAAAAAAAATAGTACTAAGTAATTCTAAAAGTAGCTAAAGGGGTCCTTTTTATACTACCTAAATTATTTAAATACGGAGCTTATATAGGTATTTTACGTAAGCGAAAAGTACGGCCTAGATAATTTTTATAAAATTATCCTAAATACTAGGGTATTATAATAGTTAATAAGAGAAAAGGGGTAATTCTAAGTGCTATAAAAAATCGCACTAATAATACTTAATACGTTAATAATAAGTATTATAAAAATTAGCTTTAGCCTAGGTAAGGAAATCGTCGCCCTAGGTATAATAAAAGTAAAAATATACTTCGGAACGATAACTTTCTATATTTTATTTATTAATACCCTATTTCTTTTATACCTAAAAAATATAAATCGACTAAGTATTATTTTTAATAATATAAAGAACAAAATCTTTAGTAATAAGTACTTTAAAATAATTAAATAATAATAAAGATACGCGTTTATAAAGCTTATTAATAATACGAAATCGATTAATTACTTAATAAAAAATAAGCTTAAACGACTATACTAAAAATTCGGGTACCTATCGGTTATAAAGCTATATAACTTTTTAAAATAATTAGGTAATAATAATATCGAAATAAGGGCGCTAGAGTAATTAATAAAAATATATTACTAATACTAAATAAATACGTAGAGCCTATATAAATTTAAATTTAAATTATATAATAAGCTTAACTTTAATTAAGAAATCGTTATTAATATTTTTTATTTAAATAATTAACCGGTCTTATATATAATTAACGAGGCTATATTATTTTAAATAGGCTAATTTCTCTAGGATTTATAAATAAAAATAATATAAGTAGCCCTATAAAAAAGCTAGATTAATATATACTAAAGATTATTAAATAGTATTAGAACCGACGCTAATACGAGTTTTAAGTTAATAAAATTTAAAGAAAATACGACGGCCTATAATATATAGCTAAAAATCGTACTTATAGAAGCGTATTATAATATTAAAAAAGTAAAAAGGGTATATTAGTAGTTAAAAAGGGCGTTTAGAATTATTAAAAAGGAAAATCCTAATTCTATTAATAACGAATATTTCTAAACGGTACTTAAGTACTATAACGATATTATAGGGCCTAATAGGCTTATATTAATACTATTAGTATTTAAAATATACTTAAGGACGACTTTAGCCTTATTACTATTATTAAATATAAACTAACGAGCTTAAATAATTAAAAAAATAATACGGGCGCTACGCGAGATAAGTATAAAAAAATAAGTTAATAAGGTAATTACTATATATAATAGGCCCGATATAGGGGCTAATTTAGATATATTACTAAATTCGGATATATAAGTATAATAAGAAATTACTTAGTAATAGGCTAGGCTATATAAATTAATTTTTATTAATAAGCGTTCTTATATAATTACGAGAGATCGTAACTAGTTACTTAAAGTATTAATTATAGTAATTAAATTATATTATAAGGATCTTATTAAAGTAATCTTTAATTTATAAAAAGAAAAAGAGCTAGAGGAAACTATATAACCCGTAATAAAAGTATAGGAAATTATCCTTAATAAAATTATCGTAATAGTACTAATAAATAACGAAAAAAAGGAAATTATTAAAAGGGTACTAATATTACTAATAAGACGTTATAAAAGATTACGATAGTAAGCCCTAATATAGTAATTTATTATTAATAACGAGGTAATTAATACTTTTTATATAATAAAAGAAAAGCCGATTTTAAATTAATAATTAAACTACGTAAAAATAGTATTATTATAACTATTAAAAAGCTATATAAGGGATTAGATCTTATTAAAATAAATACTTTACGTAATCGAGGGGTCTATCGATTTATTCTTTACGACCCCGAAAAATATAAAAATCTCTGCATATTTAAATCGTAAATAGTACGTAAAATTAAGGAAAAAAAAATACCCTAACTATATAAGAAATTTAAGTATATAATTTAGGGATATAATAATATTAAAAAAGTAACGCTACTTATTTAATTACTTATAGTATAGCGCTATAGCTAACGATTAATAATAGTACTAATAATATTGCTATAAAAAAAGGGATATAAGATTTAGAGCTATAATATTACTTAGGCCTATATTTAATTAGCTATAGGGTTTATAAAAAAAATCCTAGCCTACTTACTAAAAGAAATAGCTAGTAAATACTTAAAAAGTACGATTATTAAAGTATTTAAACTACTATATAAGCTTATAAAATCGGGCACTTATTAATAAGCTATATACTACGATTTTTATATTAATTAACTATTAATAATTATATCTACGTACGACCCGTACTTATTAATCTCTAAATATAAAAGTAAGTAATTTAAAATTATTAAAATATAAACTAACGATATACTAAGCCTATCTAATATTAACTTTATAAAAAAAGAGGATAAAGAGCTTTAAAAAGCGGGCTTTATAATAAAGCTAAAAGAGGCCCTTATAATAAATAACTTATTAATATTTAATAGCGGGATTTTTATAATTAAAGGGGAAAACGTCGTTTTTTAATAAAAGGGGTAGGGTAAAAAAATTACTCTTATTAACTTAAATATAATCGATATTAAAAAGTAATATAAAGCTAAGCTCGCGCAAAGGATATATATTATAAATATATATTAGCCCGAGGTAATTTTTAATTATATTAAAGTAGTATAGGCTATAGATTTAGCTAAATAAGATATCGAAGTACTTAATAAGCGGCTTAAGTAGTAATAAATAAATCTTAATCGAGGCCTCGTTTATTACCTAATCGATCTTATTATTAATAAGCTCTACGTCTTTATTAATAGGTTATTTATAAATAATAATAACTTTATTTTATAATTAGAATATATTATTATCTTAGTTAATAAAAATATAGGTAAGAGCAAATTTATTATATATAATAATATAATATATTACTTATTAATTAAAAATAAGTGGGTAATAAGGAGTATATTAGTATTAAAAGTTTATAATATAATTAATAATATTAACCTCGCTTATATAATTTTAATAATACTAAAAAAGATTATTAATCGACTTAACCTTTTATTAATCCTAATAGTTATTTATACTAATTCTTATTTATTATATAAATACTTTATTAAATTAAGAATAATAAAAGAAAAGAGGTTTATAATTAATATTATAGCCCTTAGGTAATTATATAAAAAGCGTAAGATCTTTAAGATTTATTAGATTAATAATAATAATAACCTTATTAACTTTTTTATAAAAATAGTATTTAATAAGGGGTTAGAATAATTTATAAATAATAAAAAAGTTAATATATAAATAGAAGGATAGGTTATATAAAAAAAGTAAAAAAAAGGATAAAAAAGAGATAACTTAGTAAACGGGCCCGAGGTTAAATTATATTTTTAATTATAATAAGTAAATTAATAAAAAAAAGAGAAAGTTAGTATTAAATTAAAAGTTTAATTTAATTATAATATATAGCTAATTATATAGGGGCTAATTAGGGGCCCTATTTATAATTATTATAGCTAACTTAACTTATAATTAGAACTTCTTTTTTATATTTATATAGAAATTTATATAAGTTTAATTAATCTCTTTGTTAACCTACGGTTCGAACTAATTACCCTATAATAGGGATACTAATACCTATATATCAAAATAGGGACACTCGAGGTACTCAATGGACTACAACTCGCCGAAGTAATGCGTCTATACGTGGACAATTGGAAATATATCCTCTCTTGATGCTTTTGGGGTTTGTACTTAATTACGATCCATCCCCTCTAAGATCGGGAAGTCGGGTCTAGCCCTACTCCAGGGGCGGGAAGTAATGTCGAACGAGTTGTAAACGCAAATGAAATTGATTCCTAGTGGTTCAATGTTCCAATAAGTGTTTGAAAAGAGTGTAAGCACTCCACATGGACACTATCACGACAGGGTCCAGCACAGCTAAATACCTAGTTTTGGCAAGGGTGTAAGCACTTACACCAATTGGAACGACTTGCGGTCCGCATCTCAGCACTCAATGTTGTATTCTTGTGAAGAGCTGGGGCAGCTGGAAGCGAGAAAATATGACCTGGATGTTCAGTCATTACGATTTGGTGCACTTCTACAGTTCTTCCTGAACATGGGTGAAGTCGTGGAGTATGGCTACTTTAGCTAGTACCTTAGCTGTCGCTTTGTTGAAGTCAAAGCACGACTTGACTTCACTTACCTTACACTGAATCTGTTTTTTTACATTTGAATAAGGCCGGTACTTACTTGAATTCGATGCAGTGATGGGCGAAAGGAATTCATAATTTCGCCTCTAAGAGGTAAGGCTAGACATGCAAAACGTTCAATACGTAAGGTACTTAGTCTGTTTTTATATACCATCAAAAATATATTGAAATAGCTTGAGCTGCGAAGCACAATTTTGATCAGACTCATGACGAATGATGCATGTAAGATCAATACTATATCAATGAATCTTGTGTCTGCGGTTTGGTCATTAGTGAACGCTTAATCCCGGCAGGGGCAACAGCCGATGGTTCCGGCGCTCTCAGTTACCATCACTTTCGAAGTTTCGATCTGGCTGTAGGCGATACAGCGCTGAGTTCGAAGTAAATACAAATATGTGAATTGAACCACAGACCCTTCACTGAGAGTCTCTCAACTCTCAGGCTCCTTCCACCGGCTTCTGTCCAGACAAAGCGTGATAGTAAACATAAGTATGGAAAGCCGCATTCCTGAGGTCTTTCCGTACCTGCATCAGTAACACTTCGACCTCCTCTGGAGTCCAGCCCAGCCCTCTCGTCAGGGGACCCATCGTAATAGCCTGTAGTCCGTCGAACAACACCGCCTGAGAATACAAGCCAATGGTTTTCAGGTTGTCATCTTTGGGCCACCTCCCCAATGGCACCTTCTTAACATCGTGAACCTGCTTCACGAAACCACCAGCCCTGAGACGCTCCGGGTTGGTCTCCGATGCGTAGAGCTCGAAGCCGAACTTACCGAGACCTTCTTCGATAAGGTTCGCCATCTTGGTTGGGGTGTAGTCAGGACCCATCGTGTCATCGTCGCAAGCGAATCTCCATCTCAGCTCTTGCAGCTCGATCCACCCGCCCGGCTTTAGTACCCTGCTATTATGAGCACAATTTCTTGTAACTTGTCTCTATGACGGATGGTTACTAACCTATATGCCTGACGCAGAAGCCTAGGCCAGTCTTTGATGAAAGGAGCCATGTGCCGCAGGTGAATTAAATCAACTGAGTTGTCTGGATACAGCCAGTCTGCCTCCGCATCGTCGACCAGGAACCTGACATTCGGTGGTACAAAGCCGGGTTGGATAGGGCTCAGGTCGATCCCGTCGATATCTGCTTCTGGATAGTTGTCGCCCACTTTCATCTAGTCAGGTAATGCGGTTCTGTATACAGTAGAGAAGTCTCTTCACGTACTATCGATCGCCCAAATGCCAGTACCAGTACCAATATCAAGAATTTTTTGCGGATTATCTAGAGGCGCACTGTGTAGATCTCCGTCGCATATGTGAACCACCAAAGCGTGCTTCATGTCCTCGCGATCCTGCTCAGGCTCATCGTTTGGACACAGGTATCGGCCTTGCTTGAATTTGTGGTAGCGACGCTTATTCTCCCATTCATAGTCACGAACGCTCGAAGACAGTGAAGTCGAGGCATTGGAACTGCCGTCGCTGCCAGTCTCGTATCCATCAGTGGATGGGTCTGGATCTTCTTCAGCCACAATCGCTGCAGCTGGTGACACTGGCGCGGCCGGTGACGATGCGACAGCAGCCGGTGATACCGGTGCTATTGGTTGAGTAGCATTTCCGGCATTTTCAGTTGTCGGGGGAACTTCAGGGGTCGCTTCCACAGCGGCTGCCTCGCCGACGCGCCCTTCTGCCATATTGTGGGTTGTGGGTTGTGGGAAAGGGTTCAGACATAGAGTCTGTTCAGGATATCTCGCTCAACGCAAGGGATGTTGAAGTGAGGGGAATAATGTCCAGCATGCAAACCAACAGACATGCCTGGAACATTATCGCCCCATTTTTGTCGTTCGATAACTTCGATTGGGTCCTCCTACTGGGGCTCACATCAGAGCAAGGATCATGACCAATACCCTGTATCCATCTGGTATGGGGATGACATCGAACCCACCAGACCAAATGAAGTTCGTTGGACATACGTTGTGAGACATTGATTGAGCAACTCGTCTTACACGTAGTAGCATTTCTCTCAGGAAACAGGCTTGCCATGCAAATCTTTACTAAAAATTTCAACTGAAGCTGAATGTGACGATAATTATGAAGCTGGCTTCCCGCTCGCACCTTGAGTATTTATCGTTACTCCCGCTTTGCTCAAACTTCCATGTCCACTGCCACCGTCATCATTGGCGATATCGATACTTGGCTCAGAGTCACGTTCACTCAGTCGAGTAAAGGGGCGCTCGTCCTCGGCACCGCCGCCGCCAACCCCTTTCCGCATCGCCCCAGTACCAGAGCCTCCTAGGTAACTGCTTCCATTTGTAGTGCTGGGCTTCGTACGGTCATTGAGTATGTATTGTCCGCCAGAGTTCTGGCCACTTCGTCTGATCGAAGATTTCAGTCTGCCATTCAGCGCGAGGTTGAGGATCGGTTTCAGGCATGGGAGACAGGCTAGTTCATGACAAATTATGTATTAGCTGAATCCCATTGTAAAGTTTTTTGGGCTGACTGTGAGGCGAGAGGACCTACCGCAGATGATAGCTGTGTTAGCTTCGACATTAGTCCAGATAATGGTGTCGATGAAATTCCAAGTAATGTCAGGTGACGTGAGGTCAACTGAAAGAATCACATTTAACCGGGCCATGGAGACGACAGTAACGCTATTCAAATTCGTCAGCAGCTGTTGTTTCTCCTGAAGATTTTGCAGACTGCTAATTTACTCACAAAGTGCCGAGCGCAAAAATACCTGCAAGGGCGAACTTCTGTGCTTTGTGCAGCTGTAGCTTCCACACATAGGGGATAGGTAACAATACAACTAGTGCATCCGTTATAATATTGGGAATAGAGTTTCCCTTGAAGAACATCTTGACATCAACACCGCATGTGTACTGATCAGACGACAGGGGGTTGACTGTGTCGTAGCGTGCCCAAAAGGCATGAACAGGGAGACATTGGAAGATCGTAACGAGAATCTGCGAGCTTTGTTAGTGAAGTTCCCAGAGATCTTCAAACACCTAGACTGCATTCGGAGTCGAGGTCTTTCAACATACAACAGCAATGAACCAAGCTAAGACGATGCCGGCCATAGCCCAGATGTAATACCTGATGCTTTTACGGGCATTGAATATTCGCCAGTAGAGCGCCAATGTCGACCACTTGACTGTTGATAACGTCACTGTGTACGCTACTTCTGATACGAAAAGACCAATTGCCCACGCTCTTGTCGCCGAGGTTGGCGCTACCCAAATGTGTTTACCGGTACCATTCGGTATCACTACAAAAGAATCAGATTACCAGTATTGGAATGTAGTAGAATTCAGGCTCTCAATGATTGGACTGTGATTTCAAACTTCATGGAGTTGACTTACTGTATCCTATGCTTATAAAAACGTGCACAGCTGCTGCGGTCTAAAATTGAATTGTCAGCGAACATGCGTTGCCTTCGTGCACTTTTATCGCAAAATAGAAATTAAAAATTCCAAAAGGCACGGATTTTCGTTGCATACCAAGGAAACAGTGATCAGCCAGTCCTCCAACCAAAGCTTATTGGATTGTATTCGTCGGGCAAGAAACCGAAGCGCAACTGCGATGGCTGCGAGTGCCCACGTGCAACTGAGAGCACCAATGATGCTGGCAACTCTGGACTCGCTGAGATCTATGCCATCCGGAACTGGCAGAGAGGCCATCTTGCCTTCGGCTCTTTGAAGAATTCCGTGCTTGGGCTGGAAAAGAAAGAACAGACATCTGTCAGGTTAGACTTTCAGACTTTTTTTTGGGGCGCCTGAGCCAGACAATGGCCATGTTTATGTGTGACCAGCCGGAAACCGAGACTTGCCGTTCCATGCTGGCCAATAACTCGGTTCGATTCATAACAGTAAGATGCAACAGAACTAGGCTCTTGGCCCTGGTTCTTGCGCCCGGAAACTGGGGCCGCCAGGTACAAAATCGAGATTGATTTCTCCACGATCCGGGCACAACCTGGGACCGCCGATTACCTATTACACCATCCGTTGGAACATCAACCCGCCGGTCCACATAACGACTGGTTGGCATTCGTCTTACTCGTCAAGTATCACCAATTGGACTTGAAGGGAATTGTGACAAGGGCCCTAAGAGTCGGCCGTAGTGCGAAAAAATGGCATGTTTTGGGCTGCCCTGGAAATGTCACTGTAGCTTGCTTGAGTCGTGCGATATCCACTCCAAGTCACCAACCAACACAACCAAGCTAAGACTTACCAGGTGCCCTAGCTCAATTCCCACGAAATAGGGCCCATCTGGACGTAAATGCGCCCCAATATCGCCGGTCTCTGGTTCATATCCCGCCTGCTAAAGAAACAGGGGATGAACACCTTCCAAATTCGATTCCCGGCTCAATGAAATAATAAGTAACATGGTGTTCCCCTGATCAAGGTCTCTTACCCGATCAAGCTTCCTCATCTCAGTTCTCACTCTCACTCACCATCAACTTCAGCGGGACCCTCTTCAATCTGAATCAACTCCTCGAGACCGCAACTATCATCGACGCAATGAGTTCTCGTACGCCTCCCACTTTCCTTCTGGTACCGGGCGCCTGGCATCGTCCATGGTCTTTCGACCTTTTGCGCGATGACCTCCACGGCCGGGGGTTCAGTACTGAAACGGTGGCACTGGCCGGCGTGGGTAGCACCGATGTGAACGTGGGATTGGAACAAGACACGGCAGCCGTCCGCACCGAGCTGCAGAAGCTCATCGACGACGGGCGTGAGGTTGTCGTGGTTGCGCATTCCTATGGCGGTGTCCCTACTGCGAATGCGGTAGAGGGTTTTAACTACAAAGATCGAGTTGCGCAGAGCAAGACTGGCGGCGTTCTCATGGTCGTGTACATGACCTCTTTTGCCATCGGTGCCGGGTCAGCTCTTTCCGACGGCGCGGGCTCAGTGCCCTGGTGGGACGTCAAGGTGGGACAACATTCATATGCAGGTTCCGGAAAGTCAGAGACAATAGCTCATCACTCTTACCTCTTAGGACGGCTTTATCTCACCTCTCGATCCGATCTCCGTATTCTATGCCGATGTCGAGCCCGCTCTCGCCGCCAAGGCCGTCGAGGCCCTGCGTCCTCAGCCTTTCAAGACCTTTCAAGACAAATCCGGCTTCGAACCTTGGAACGAAGGATTTGAGATGGGTTACATCTTTGCTGAGGATGACCAAGCCATACCGCTTGATCTGCAGATCATGATGGCTTCTCAATTTTCTCCCAGCTCCTTCACAGCTAGCCTTTCGGCCAGCCACTCACCGTTCCTCAGTATGCCCAAGGACCTTGGGGATGCTCTGCAGCAAGCTGCTAAAACGGCTGTCGCAAAGACAGAGGGCTTGAGATAGTTTAAATAGTACATCTTGCAAGTTAAAAGTGAGTAGTGATGCATGCAAGTAGCCGGACTTCATGTGGACTATGAATCAGATGCCAGGAAGACTGTTTTATCGATGCTATCAGACAGCAGATATTCATCCGGCAAGTCAACTTCGCTACTTCCCAGGTGGAAGATGCAAGAAGAAGTCGAACTTGCCCTCGGCCAAATTACAGCGCCAGATAAGCGTCTATTTTGCACGTGAATGGCATGGAACCCCATATGTTCCTAGGTTCCTGACAGATCCGAGCCTTGAGTAATGCCTTCATGTTGCTTGTAAGGTACTGGGCAGTTTCTTGTGCCATCTGACTTTCATCATCATCTCCCCAGTTGCCGCTGTACCACAACTGTCTACAATCAGAGGTAGAGAATGCAGTCCATGGCTGTTTGCGTCCGTCCCTTCCACCGGTGCTTGGAATACCACAGGTGAGATACACATCAGTGTGGTTTTGTCCCAAAGTTATTCTAAGCCGCAGGCTCGTTCTATATGGCGCGTCCTTAGGAATTAGAAACTTGCTGTTCAGACTATCCCAACGATCTGGGGGAAAGCCCTCCACAACTTGCAACTTGAGATGCTCTTCGTGATTCTGTAATATCTGTAGATATACATCTACTCTCCTGGTGACGGACTCTTGTATCTGCCTCTGAATAGACGGTGTCACTCTGGAGATCACGCAGGCGTCTTCCTCTACCAACATAGTTCTCCGGGCGTCATCCAATTCCACACGCGTGTATCGATACTTTGCTGTCATAGGCAGTACCCTTGAGAATAGATTCGGGCCGACTTTTCGAAGAAAAACATTGAATATCTCTGGGTTCTTGCAATTTGGCGAAGCAGCGTAGTCAAGCTTCATTCCCAGGCAGTTAATCTCCGGAACCTCGAAAAACCGTCGCCGGCCGAATCGGATCCCGCGATTGGTCATGGAAAACTCTCGTCCGTCCAGCAACGTCCCTCTAATACGCGAGATACTGTTGGATTCAGAAAATGCTTCTGGAGACTTGGCGAGCATGCCGCAGAAATAAAGGTCTGAAAGATCTTGCGGCATCTTTTCTTCACCATCAAATTTTGTCGTTGATTCAGGGCGCAGCGGCGCGTGGCAGAATATGGAAATGTCGTTTGAACGCCGGATGATCTCCTCCTGCAGGCGAAGGAATGCCCTGTCGCCCTCGCCATATAGCATCGGCATGTTGACGTCGAAGATTCCAATGAGACAGTAGGCAATATCCTCAACCCTCGTTGTAGTCCGTCTCGATGCCCATGACATCCTGCGCGCCACCGGCTTCGAATCAAGTAGTGTGCAGTCCCCTAGCACGTCCGCATCCACCCGCGTGATTCTAGAGATGGCGCCCCTGAAGTCTGACCTGTGTCCTCGGAAGTTCCACTTCTCGTCGTAGAATCGGAGGACCTTGGGCGCAATGAGTTCCTGGAGACACCAGCCGCGGGTGAACCATCTGCAGTCCTTCAAAGCATCGTCGGTAGACTCCCCCCTATCACCGGCGGCTGGCCAGTCTGAGAGAAAGGCGTAGCATACCTTGGCATCACGATACCAGCCGAACATGGAGTTAATCGCCTCGCCGAGCTCGGCGCTACTCGTCTTGTCGATGCAGCAGGTGTCGATCCATGCGTACGCTATGCCGTTGGCCTTGGCTTCGCGGCATGTTGCCACGATCTTCTTATAGCCAGACTTTCGCGATGCCTTGTGATCTGGTGTTTCACTAATTTGCGTGAATTCCTGGAAGCTGACCTCCTCATTGTCGACCCATGTATGCGAGAGAATAGCATAAGCTGGTGCTAAATTGGCGGTAAAGAGCCTCAACTGGAGAGTCTCCGTTTCGATGAGCCGGATTGACATGCTGCGTGGTGAATCTGCTACCTGGAATCTTTGGTGACCTGTAAGTATGCTTTAGATATCGTGTTCGTCGTAGAGCTTTCTGTCAAAGAGTAGCAGAGTGGCCCTGGAAAGTACGTGGAACACGTACGATAATCAACGGTCATGCCGCTTGGGCCGGGTGCCTGACTTTGAGGGCCTAGCTGATTGTCGTGAATCCTAGTCATGCAGGTAACATGCATGATGCACCAATAGCGTCGCTTGTCACGCTGCATCCAAGCCAATAGTCACTTACCATAATTGGCACGATAGCTTGTGTGTTCTCCATTCTTTCTGACTGTCACAGCTACTTGCTCTCTACTCGTCAACAGGGTGAAGATCAGAACATGGGCCGGGAACCCAATATCGAACTTACACCATGAACCAATATCAGGGGATAACACCAAAACACATTGCAAAGCTGCCTATGAGGGACAAATGTGACGGTGAATCTTTGGATTAGATGCATTACATAGTACTTTTACGATACTTAATGCGAAATGGGTATTTACTTGGAAGCTTCAACGCTCCTTGCTTTGCGAATTGCAATGCCTCAAACTCTGTGTTCAGCATCGCTCTGGTACTGTCTCTTATCCTCATCATCTCCATGAGTAACCAAAGCCTCAGTCTTCTCGCTCACAGCAGCCGCAGGAGGAACCGCAGCATCATCACCGTCAAAGATGACAGCCATTTGCTCCAGGGTGTGTCCGCGAGTCTCGGGGTAGGCGAAGAAGACGGTGATCCAAAGAAGAGCAAGCATCACGATGAATACAATGTAGTACTTCCAGTGAATAGCCTCCAGTGCAATGGGGTTCACAAAGGTGTTGATGAAGATAGCGATGACGGTTGAGCACCAGGTGACGGTGAGACCTCGGGATCGAAGGCTGAACTGCCAAATCTCGCAAGGGTAGGCCGTGAGGAAGGGGGTCCTAGTTTCATGTAAGTGAGTGTTCTCATGAGAAGACCGCCCAGTTCTTGCGAGTTCGGGAATCGCCCTATAGGGGCTCAGAAGACATAGACTTACATGGCGATGTCGTATCCAGCAAAGAAGATGAACAAGAATGGGATGACCGAGGATCCGATGGCCGATGACTGGGTCGTGGCGAAAGAACCACTGAGGCCAGTAATGATGATGAAGCTCACCAACATGACGCTGGCAGAAGTCAAGAACAGGAAACGGCGACCCAGCTTGTCGACGCTGGTGGCGGCAGCGATTGCCCACAGCAGGTTCCAGACGTTCAGGCAAGCCGAAATCAAGGTCTGGTTCGTGACTGATGTGACTCCAATCGAGTTCAGGATGACTAGACAAATGTTAGCAAAGTCAGATTGACACAACCTATAGAAAGGTGTCGAAAGGGTGGGATATCGTACGAGCTAGGCAGATGTTAGCTATCGAGACAAGGAATGCGATGTTATCGGTCAAAACTCACGGAGATAGTATGACACCACGCCATTACCAGCCCATTGGGCGTAGATACCGAGAGTAACAGAGATAAAGAGGCGATGACGGTTTCCTGGTGTCTTGATCATATCCATATACGAAGCGCTGGAAGAAGCCTCCTTTTCTGCGGTAATGGTGGCCTGGATCTCAACAACCTGGTAGGTTACCAAGGGATCGTTTCTGTTACCACCTGCATGGTGGGTAGCCAGAATCTCGGTGGCCTCCTCGACGCGTCCAACACTAATCAGCCAACGAGGACTCTCAGGCGACAAGAGGAAGCCGGGCAAGGCAACGAAGGGAAGGACAATCTGAAGAACGACGGGAATACGCCAGCACCAGTCCGAGGCAATGTCACGGCAGGCAAAAGTGACCCAACCGCAGAGCGTACCGCCAAAGTACCAGCCGACCATGAATAGGGCATTGGCGATGGATCGTTGCTTCGGGTGGGCGATCTCGTTGATCAAGAGAGGAGCCGAGTTTCCGAGCCACGAGGCGGCGATACCGATGAAGAGACGGGAGTAGGTGAAGGTTGCTTCGTTTTGGGCTGCCGTTTGCATGACGACACCGAGAACCAGGAACAAGTATCCGACATAGATGCCAGGCTTGCGACCCCAACGGTTGGAGCACATGGCGGCGATGGGGAAAGCGATACCGTTCCCGAGCCAGTAGATACCTGTAATCCAACCAAGGTATGCGCCGGAGGGGTTGTGCGTAAAGGCGTTCCATCGAGGAAGGGCGAGGAGACCGCCCATGATGGATCCATCGTAACCGTTGGCAGAAGCTGGAAAGTCAAAGTTAGCTACAACAGGCCACTGTTTGTTGAGCCGAGTTTACACACAGAACAACACCATAGACAAGGTGATGAAATTGAGCTTCCGCAAGTGGGCGTGCTTCCACCAAGGGAGGTCATCGCCGGGGATCACGGCCAGGTCCTCGACAGGTTTACCCATGTTGACGTTGGGTTATCAGGGTCGCAAGAGAGGCTGGCAAAAGGATCAGAGGCAGAAGTTTCCGGATACAAAGAGAAACTCTCAAAGATGTTGTCGTCAAGTTGTCTGGACTCTTTAGAGCCTGCGAGCGCCGTGAAGCAGGGTCACATCACACAGTCCGGGGGGGAAGAAAGCAAGGTCTATATACAATCGATACTCCCTTCACAAGTGACAACAGGGGAAGCAAGTCGGAATCTGGCTTGCGATTTGCATACGAAAAAAAACCGAGGAGGTGGAGCATGGCATCCCGATGCCCCGGTCGTCGCGTGTTCGTCCGGAACGCAGATTTGGGTCGGATGGGGGATTGGGGAGGGGCCAGAACTCTCCAGTGTCACGCCCCATGGAGAAAACGCTTCCATTGCAGGCCGTCGCGGGGGCCCATACGACCCACTTGACAAACAATGGTAAAAGTGGTTTACGAAGTAGTCGTAAGGTCGTAAGGTTGGTCTGGAGAAAGGAGGACACGGGGGCGGAGAATTGAGTCAGTTCATGCTTTGATGTGACGGGAATAGTCAGAGTTGAGGTCTTCAAGAGTCAAGAGACTAAGGGGATTAACACTGAGGCGGAGAAATGTGGTCTTGGCTAACGTTGGCCTTTCCATAGCTGAAGCTGCTTAGACCAAACAATGCCCTGTGCCTCACCCCACTAAGCCGTGGCAGTTGAGGCCGGCTTTCAGACCATCTCTTCTATTTCTCCGCCTTCGAAACCGTTTCCCCATCGTGACCAGATTGCCGGCGCGTCGGCTCACCATCCACGCGACTCTGAAGCAGTAAAGTGGACGGTAAAGACCCAGAATACTCACTGATTCAAGTGTGACTACGTCATGGTCTTCGGAATGCGATTCTTTATGCCCGACGTGTGGATCAGAACCCCGCGGTCGAGGGGAGACACAGAGACCATGCTGGAGACCTGGGGCTCCCCGCGTTGGCTCTGGACTCTCGGAATAAAGAGAAGCGCCCGTCGATCGGCTCAGTTTCTCCCTTGATCAATTGCTGGTGTCTACTCTGTTCTTTTTCAGACGAATTTCGGATCTTGTTGTTGGAATTTACCTGTCTCTTCGCCGTCTGAACTGTTTCCAAAGACCAGCTTCCTGTCACACGTCTCATCATGGATGTCGAAGCACTTCTTGAACAGCTCACGCTGGAGGAGAAGATCTCACTCACGGCTGGTCAGTTACCAAAAACTATCACTCGAGCTCAATTCTAACTAGAAAAAGGCGTTGGCTGGTGGCACACTGCAACAGTCGAGCGCTTGGGAATCAAGCCGATCCGTCTCTCTGACGGCCCCAACGGCGTTCGCGGTACACATTTCTTCGACAGCACACCTTCCGCGTGCCTTCCGTGCGGAACTGCCATTGGCGCAACATTCGATGTCGAGCTGGTCCAAAGGCTCGGCCGCCTACTGTCGGACGAAGCTCACGCAAAGGGCGCCCATGTCCTGCTTGGCCCTACAATCAACACCCAGCGTGGGCCCCTGGGCGGACGTGGTTTCGAGTCCTACTCCGAGGATCCGGTATTGTCTGGCATCCTCGCCGGCAACTACGTTAATGGAGTCCAAGAGTCAGGCGTGTCAGCCACGCTGAAGCACTTTGTGTGCAACGATCTCGAAAGCGAGCGTATGGCTGTCAACGCCATTGTGACCGACCGTGCCATGCGCGAGATCTACCTGCTTCCCTTCATGATCGCCATTGAGATGGGCAAGCCCCGCGCGATCATGACCGCCTACAACCAGGTCAACGGTGTCCATGCGGCGGAGAGCAAGAAGATCTTGCAGGATATCCTGCGGGACGAGTGGAAATGGGACGGACTGGTCATGAGCGACTGGTTCGGTACCTACAGCACATCTGAGGCCATCAAGGCAGGCCTCGACCTCGAGATGCCAGGCCCTAGCAGATGGCGCGCCGGAGCCCTCTCCCACGCCATCATGTCTAACAAGGTCAAGCGATCAGAGCTCGACTCGGCGGTGCGAAACGTCCTGAAGCTGGTCAAGCAGGGCCTCGAGAACACCTCCATCCCACCCAACGCTCCGGAAACCGAGGCGAACACACCAGAGCACATTGCGCTCCTGCGCGAAGCAGCCGCTAAGTCCTTGGTACTCCTGAAGAATGAGAGAAGCATCCTTCCTTTTGACAAGAACAAGAAGATCGCCGTCATCGGGCCCAACGCGAACATTGCGACCTACTGCGGCGGTGGTAGCGCCGGACTCAGAGCCTATAACACCGTCACTCCTCTGGAGGGCGTGAAGTCCCTCGCAAGCGACGTCGTTTTCTCACAAGGTGCCTACGGTCATCAGTCTCTGCCTCTCCTTGGCAAGGCTCTCAAAACACCAAACGGGAAGCAAAGGGGTTTCGTGCTCCGCATCTACAACGACCCCCCACCCAAGGACACCGCCAGCTCAGCCGACAGCCGGACACCCCTCGAGGAGCGCGTCCTCGACGATGCCAACATCTGGTTCGTCGACTACGAGAATGCCGACCTCAACCCCATCTGGTGGGCCGAGACTGAGGGCACACTCGTCCCCGAGCGATCAGGAGAGTGGGACTTTGGCCTGTCAGTTCATGGCACCGGCGAACTCTTCATCGACGGCAAGCTGGTCGTCTCCAATGTGGAGAACCAGCGCCTGGGCAGCAGTTTCCTCGGCTGCGGTACGGTCGAGGAGACGGGCACTATGCACCTGGAAGCCGGACGAAGCTACCGCGTCTTGGTGCGCTTCGGCTGCTCGGCCACCAGCAAGGTCAAGGCCTCCGGCACCGTTGACTTTGGCCAGGGCGGCGTCCGCTTCAGCGGCTGCCCTAAGCTCGAGCCTGCTACCGCGATCCAAGAGGCCGTGGAGGTCGCCAAGAGCGTCGACCAGGTCGTTGTGTGCACCGGTCTGAGCGGCGAATGGGAGTCTGAAGGATTCGATCGGACGACGATGGCTCTGCCTCCTGGCACCGACGAGCTTGTTGCTGCTGTGCTGGCGGCGAACCCTAACACGGCTGTTGTCGTTCAGAGCGGTACGCCGGTCTCCATGCCTTGGATCGACCAGGCCGGTGCCGTCCTGCATGCTTGGTTTGGTGGCAACGAGTCTGGTAACGGCATTGCGGATGTACTCTTTGGAGAGGTCAACCCGGTAAGTTATCTCAGGTACTATCGGAGAGCGTGAAGTTACCCTACTAACAAGCTACATCGCAGGCCGGAAAGCTTCCCCTTACAATGCCGCGCCGAGTACAAGACAACCCCGCAGCACTAAGCTTCCGCTCAGATAATGGCCGTTGCTTGTATAGTGAAGATGTTTACGTCGGCTACCGCTGGTATGACACGCTCGACATTGAGCCCCTGTTCCCCTTCGGACATGGCCTTTCCTACACGACATTCGAGGTTTCCGATCTCGAGGTGTCTGATGCGTCGGCCCAGACGAATGGCCACGCCAATGGCAACAACACAATCACGGTTCAAGAGGCGGATAGCCTCACCGTCCGCGTCAAGGTTGCCAACACTGGCTCTCGTGCCGGCTCTGAGGTCGTTCAGGTCTACGTCACACCGGCGGCGCGCACGCCATTGACCAGCACAACTCGCGATACCATAACCCGTCCCAAGAAGGAGATGAAGGGCTTCGCAAAGGTCACGCTGGAAGCTGGAGCCAGCGCCACGGCAGAGATCTCTTTGGATGTTCTGCGTGCGACGAGCTACTGGAGCGAGATGGAAGACTGTTGGCGTAGCGATGCCGGCTCTTACGGCATTCTCGTGGGAACCAGCAGCCGTGGAGAGTTCCTCGAGAAGACAGTCAAGGTGGAGAAGTCGAGGACATGGAAGGGATTGCGGGCGTAGACGAATAGACTTAGATATGCATTTGTACATAAGTGGATGGGATATTAGACATCGTGCGTTGAGACGATGATTAGAAACGCCTCATAACGCATGTTCTGCTCATGAGAGCACATTTCAATGTTGAATATAACTGGTGACGATCAAAGCAGTTGGCAGGGGGATGTGCCTTCTGAGTAATCTTGGTGATTTGCAGATTTCTTCGTAGAACTTCACGTTAAAGGTTCCACTCGAGAACCTCCGTATGCTAATTTGAGTCGTGCCATCCCACTTGACGGATCTAATCTCAGAGATTGTCGGCCTTTCGCCGCGATCACCCATCAACAAACTTCGGGCGTTGCCCGAGTCATCCCTGGTGGTAAAACATCTTCCGATCACGCGCAAAGCTGCCATCCCATGTCTAACCCCATTCGAGAGTGGGAAATCCGCTGGGGACCCCGGGATTTATCGGCCGGGGCCACAACGCGCCTCCATCAAGTCCCATTTACCATGAATTAGCGTTGGGAACAAATAACACTAAAAGGGAGCATGTCAACCCCCTTTCATCCCATTTCTCCGCATTCTTCACATTTCTCCCCCTCATTTTCCCTCTCCACGTTTTCCAGAAATCCCGGCAGGATGGGTGCGGCACCACCATCCCTATCGGTCCGAATTTCACCAGCATGCGCCGTCGCTCGAGCACTCAGGCTGCGTCCGTCAGCGTCTCGCCAACTGCGATTCGAAGGGCTGCTAGCAAAACGCCAGATGAGACTACAGGCTTATCGTCGACGGCAGCGGTGAGATCGAGCATCGCCAGCAGAGCGTGCGACGCTTGTCGTGCTCGGAGAAGAAAATGCCACTTTGACGGGTCTTCGCCCCATGCTGAGGGGCCGTCTCCGACGCAGTGTCGTGATTGCTGCAGACTCGGCATACCATGCAGCTTCCTGGTGCCCACGAGGCCGCGGGGACCTAAACGAAGGTATGAAGATCCGGGGTAGCAGGGGGTTTTCGTTCTGTGTGTAAATTCTACCCAGAGTCACTCACTTACTGGCTTGGCAGGAAACGTCTCCCATCAATGTCTGATAGGAGCGAGAGTGAGCTTCCCAATGAAGCGGAGACTCATCATGTAGAGACTGTCGAGCAGCAATCTCAACAAGTTCCTGAGCCTGCAGTGAGCATTGAGCCTGTCCTCGTCTTGTCAGGTCAGACTCCTCCATCAAGACCTTCACAAGCCAGGTCTCCCTATGGCCCTCCTCATTCTGCCCTTCATGGCCCATCTCCGCGTGCCGCAGCCCCGGCCCAGACGGAATCGCCCTCGGTAGCCGGCGTTGGGTTCCCAACAGATGAGTTGTGCTCAAGAGCACTTATACACATCTTGATGGCAGATTACCTCGACTTGGTCTACCCGCTGGTGCCTGTGGTCCATCGGCCCAGTTTCCGTCATGATCTGGCCACAAATCGGGACATAACCGATCCGGACTTCTTTGCTGTCCTCATGAGTTTAGCCGCGCTCACTGTCGGGTTGTTGCCGTCGCGCTTCCGCGACTATAGGGCAGTTGACCCCGAAGCTGCGATGCGCTTTGAAAATAGAACTGCAATGATCAATTGTTGCGCGGAGATATGTACTCGACAACGGACTGCAAACTACTGGGACCACATTAACCATCGGAAATGGGCGGTGTGTTATGTCCTTTCCGTCGCCTGCTTTCAAACAGGTCAGGTCAACCGGAGCCGGATGTTCGATGTGGAGTACTTGCAAGTTTCGCGACTTCTTGGGCTGCATCGCATTTCCGAGTATGAGGGTCTCAACTGCATCGAGACCCAGTTACGGAAGAAGGCCTTCTGGATGCTCTTCTATGGCTACGCGTAAGCCAAAGTCTCATCCCTAGTATACCACTTCGATCATGAAAGACTAACAACTACCAGGCATACCAGAGTTCAAGCAGGACGCTGGGAACGGCTGACATACTTTGGGCCTGGTGAGCTACGCGAGGTCAACTACGACGCTCTCATGCCCCTCGGCATCGACGATGAACATATCTTCAGAGACAGGATCCTAGACCCCGTCTCTCCAATGGCATCGCATGGAACACCATTCGCACATGCGCAGGAACCCCGAGCCATGTTCACACTCACCAGCGGCTTCATCATCCATTCCCGGGTGTTCCACAAGGGTCTCCAAGAAGCCATAGCCACGTTGGGCTGCGAATGTGAGCTCCGTCGCACCCCCGCCGCCCGTCTCGCACGCATGCGCGATCTTCTCCAAGAGATGAGATACATGCTCGACGACGTTCCGGGCCCCATGCGGCAATGGGCTTCCAACGATAGGGGTACCGATGCGGCCCCCAGCACGCCGCGGTTTGACGATGAAAGAGCTACAGCTGCCGCGTCGAGCTATGGCAGCCCGGCAGACTATAGCCGTGTCCCGGAGGCCGGATCCTACTCACAAGTGCTTCAGGGCCAAGCCGAGATCATGAGAGCTAACATCCATGTCACGCATCTGTGGTTGCAGAGCTTGCTGCTGGAACAAGTCGACGGTGTCACTCAAGAGAGCGCGATTGCCAACCCCTCGACAACTGGACGTGAGGAAGTGTCGACCGCCCTGAAAGCGAACTGGGCTGAGCGTGAGGACATTTGCCGTCAAATGCTGCACTTGCTACACAGTATTCCATATGTTCACCTGGAACCAAACGGACTCTACCTGGTATGCTCAACGCTCGATCCCAGCTTGTGCAAAGTTCAGTCTCTAATCACATCTCTCCAGGCGTACAAGGTCCGCGATGTGGCTGTAACACTACTCAACTGTCCGTTCGAAGCCCATGAACGGCCTGCCCGTCGTGCGGTGGAGTACATGCGGGACTTCACTCGCGCATTATCACGGCTCGATCGAAGTGAAATTGTGAACACAAATAGTCTTAAAAGCTGGATCGACATAGACCGGGAGCCTGCAATTTGACAGGGTGGTCTACAGCATTTCGGCATCGACAAGTCAAAATGATGACTGTGTCGGATTATGGAACGCTGCCACGAATTACCAATGAGGGTCGCATATAAACGGCATTAATCCTGTTTCAAAGCAGAATCGTATTGAAATGATCAGATCGTATGTGGTGATGTTATGCGTCACTGGTAGTTGGCTTCCTCAAGCGACAGTACCTTAGCGGCTTACAGTGTTGCGTGGTGCATCGCTACACCTTCAACGCAGCAAAACAGGCCCAAAACTTGCCGGCACGGTTCCTTGAGGCCAAAAGTAAATAGCCCATTCACAAGGAGTGAGTATGTCTTGAATAAAGGCAAAACAATCAAAAGATTTGAACCCGGAGAGGTTCGAACTCTCGACTTTGAAGAAGCATACTGCCGTGGTGATCACGAAGTATAAGCATCACACTCTAACCAACTGAGTTACGGGTCCTGGGTTGCGCCGGAAACCGCTCGGTTGCGGGTCTATCTTGCGTGTCTCCCTGTTTCCTCCGTGTTTGCTCGAGTTTCCGGGCGCCCAGGCGGAAGCAATGTTTGTTGTGGTGGGCGGTTTGCCAGCTTGGCGCCACAGCTTTGCTCGGAACAAAGGCGCGAGAGTATGCTCGAAACAAATTATACAATGAAAGTGGAAAGTTTCTGAGTGCAATCGAGGACTTGGGTTGAAAGCCTGGGAAGTATGAAACTTTGAAGGGAATTTTTCCTTTTCCCCAAGTTTTTCCCGAAGAGACCAAGTGGGCTCTGCCACCAATGAAATGGCTTGATCTAAGTCCCTGGCCCCTCTGGCTTGAGCTATCTGAATCGCCATGTCAATAAGCCACAACTTGGCAACCTCGGCTTCTTTATACGTTGTCGAACTGCGCTTCCAGACCCGTTGGGACTTCGTCACTTGAATCACAACGACTGTGGACTGAGAAGACTAAAATTTGGGAAGAAAAATTGGGTTCGTGGTCTGGATATCGTTCATCCTCGATAGACGCTATTCAAACCATTTAGTACGAAAATGGAGAGCTGGCTGATTAAACAAGGGCCAGGGCTCATCCTTCCAACGAATACAAGACATATATCAAGTCATCATACCACCAACGCCTTACTGAGCGAGCTTGCCGCTCATCATTTTCTACTAACTTCCCGGCCCTCCTCCTCTTCAACAGATCACTCCTTTATCGATGGTCGATATTCACTTTCCTGCTCTGCGAATGAGAAACGTGGCATGTATCTGGGTGGCGGAGAATTACCCAAGTCCCTCGCCGTTGGCAGCTCGACTGGCGCAGCGGCGGGTGCAGGAGGGGCCGCAGCAGGAGTCGTCGCCTGGTTATCTGGGGCTTCGACGACGACGCTAGGAGCTACAGACGAGATCCGGTGATCGCTGGGACCGGCCTAGGTTAGCAAAATACTAAAACAGCAGCAAGATTCGAAGATACTTACTAGTAGGTCTGCATGCCGTTAACAGGATGTGTGAATCCGGTAGGTTGGGGGCTCAGTTGAGGGGAGAATTGGGCCGTCGGAGTGGCGTGGTCACGGTAGGGGCCGCTGAAGTTGCTGTAGTGACTATTTCTCCATCCTTGAGTTGATGGACTCTTGGTTTGCATCGAGTAATTGAGCTCCGCCACCACGGGCTGGGATGGAGCAGTGGGAGGTGCCTGGTATGCGGTAGAGGTTCTCTTATACGCGCGGTTGATGCCGCCTCGTCGGCCGCACAGGTATACCAATAGGCCTCCCAGGAAGAGGAAAGCTAGAGAGCCGATCACGATACCGGCAATTTGGCCGCCGCTCACACTGTGATGGTAGTTGTTGATGACGGCGCCGTTGTTGGAGCCGCCGCTGGTTGCCTTTGGTGCATCTGATTCAGTCGGGAAGGGTTCACCAGGGAGAATCTGGGTGGTCAGTGGGAGGGCTGCCTCGAGCTGTTTGTCGAGGGTCTGGGTCGAGTTCTGAGACTTTGTGAGTATACGTGAATCTTTTGGCATTCTTGTTGGTGTGCCTTACCTCGTTGATTACACCGATCATCTTCTCTTTGTAGCATGAACCGGGAGCACCACAGTAGTAGAAGATCGGAAGGGTGTCATTGACGCGAACTCTGTATCGTGGCATCTGAATCATGTTATTCCCCATGGCCCGCCTGATTCCCATGGGCCATACTGACATCATTCGTGATGGCCTTGACCGACTGGTTTCCGCTGTAGAAGCCCTCGCGGCCAATGTCGATGTACTCGTATGGCGTGCAAGGAAATCCAAACTCGGCGCGGATAACCGAGTGAGCATCGGGATAGAAGATCCATTCGATGGTATCGCCGACGTTGGCTTCCGTCTTCGCGGGTGAAAATGCAAATCCAGACTACCAAGAGCTCAGCTAATTTGAAGCGGTTTTTGGGGGGATCCAGTCACTTACCGCTCCGACGGCAATAGTATGCGTTTGCGCAGCGGCAGCAGAAGCCGTTGCGGAGGCTACCACTGGTGTCCCAGAAGTCGTGGAGCTAGATGTTGTAGAGGTGAGGAAAGGCGAGATAGTTATTGTCGGCAGCACCTGAGCATTCACCAGGCCCGCTAGAGCGGCTACTCCCAACGTGAAATACCGCATTTTATCAGGAAGCTATGTTGCTCAATCACAGGATTGAGATTGGGACCAAGCAATGGTAACGGGAATGATACCAGAAGAGAGGACAGCTCGAAGGAAGAGGGGGAATGTAACGTGTGAAGGCCCAATGGCAATACTTATTGCGGCAAACATCCCCATGTACACGCCGGGCCGGGCTGACGATGGGGCTGGAGCGGAGGACTCGGGCCCGATGGCTGAGACCATCAGTCTGCATCCTGCTCGAGAACTCCGCCCAAAGCATGCATGAAAGACCCGTTGGTTTGGTGCCCACATGGCAGAGGCTGCTTTACAGCTCTCGGTTTGACTATGCTCCAGGCCTGGTAACCGGAAGAAAGGAAAGTGGCGGATATCTATGCAGCCATGAGTCTTGAATAATGGTCGCGCCTTCAAAACAGCCTTTATTGAATGTCGATCGACGAGACGAGTCTTCAGAGCAAGGGGCTCCCTCACTACGCCCTTCTATCGTCGCTAACGGACTGAGAGGAAACAGAGAGGAGACAAAGACTCGCAAGGATATTGAGACGTTTGCCATCGTGAGGCACACGTGCGAAGTGCCGAATATGGCATACCCATGAGTGAAAATGTAACGTGCGATTTCCTTGTGATACTTGAAGTATTCAGACCAACACGGCAGATAAATCATTTGACGAAACCCAGAGAAATACTCGATTTCAGGATGTGATACGGGGCAGATGGCCGAGCTGGATTGGCTTGAGCCAGTGTCATAGACGATCATACGCAAAGGACAGCTATCGCTAGAAGAAAGGATGAATGAGGCGAACTGTCGTAAAAGACCACTTGAAGAACATGAAGGTCATTTATCACACTATGGGAGCCGGCGGCTTCATACATGTTTGCTGCCCTAGCCCAGACTCTGAATGCGCTCGACCGGCTCTCACCTGGGCAATGTTTGGTGGCGTTTGTCCTACAGGGAGAGCCGTTTGGGAAAGCAGAACCACGCATAAGTGAGGTCCCTCGCCGAGCTACTTGCTGTGAGTCTGGTCTAGTGACTTATGTGGTAGGACGCAATAAGCTGGACTAGACGAAGAAGGTCTGAAACTTTGCACTATGAATAGATATCTGAAAAGAGGCTGCTGGAGTGGCTGCGCTGCTCACCTTTATAACATCCACATACCAATATCCCTTGACTGTCGATCAAACTTAGTGCAGTGCCCATCTCAAAGACTACCAGTCAAACGGCTTTGCTGCGGTGATACAGCAAGATTTATCCTGGAAAGAGACCGAAGACACAACTGACGTACCGATTAAGACGAGTTGTGTCCGGACAATGCAGGCGCTAAGACATTGTCAGGGTCCTAGTGTTGCACTAGCGGCGAGCATCGGGCTCTGGGGAACACATCCAGGGCTGAGAACGAGACAATGTTTGGAAGAACAGCTGGCCATCCTCCCTTGGTTTCGGATTCTCTTTGAGCGGGTGTCTTCCATAGACACTAACACGATGTCCAAGGTGAAAGCCGCGAGCCGAGGTGCGGGACAACCAGACTCAAAATCAGAAGTGGTGGCTTGTGATGTTTGAAATTGCTGACTGCATGGCTGAGCCGTGTTATGAAGCCTGGAAGCAGACACCAAGCTGAAGAACAAACTTTTGACTGAGTCTATACTTGAGGAGTGTCGAGATGGAGAACTCGCATGGTTGGGGTCATCTCACTGTGAGAAACCCTAGTCACGCTGGGCTCGGCACGGTGAAGCATAGTTCCAGCTTCCCGATTTCAACAAACCATGTCCGTGACTGATAGCAAATTCGATACCAAAGCCATGCCTTAGTTTCTGGCTCCTTGACATAGAAGCTGTTGGAGGCAAAGCGCGTAAGGACTCTGCTTGGGCGAGAGCACAGCTGCCGCACAGACCAGCTCCCTGACGCGCAGCGGCTGACGGTATTCCGAGACTCTTTGGTACGCGCAACTTGGGTGCGTAGGGACCGGAGGTAGCAAAGTTTGAGATCAGTCGCATGCGCAGTGAATCTTCGAGAAGAAATTTGAAGGTAATGCAATGGTTAAATGGTGGTTGCTTCTTCATTAACTCTTACACCAGGCGTGGGCAATGAGAGCGGAAGAAGCGAGTCAGGAGGTTGGTGAGCAGGCTTCCCATGAAGAGAAGCAGACGTCGAAGAAAAACGATCGAGTGGATTCGCTCTCAGGAGTCGATTTCCATCAGGAGTTGATAGCGACTGATAAGATCCAGGTCATCTGCGGAGATGAATCTCGGAAGTAGATGCAGTATGCGCGGAGCGGTGTCTAGAAAAGGAGATATTTTGAAACGTACTGAGACCAATAGTCTAATCCTCTGAGAATATCCAGGCCAGATCATGTTACATCCTGAAGATCAAAATCGACGAAAAGAAATCACCAGTGTCCGAGGCTGTTGATACTGGATAGTATCTGCTGACTAACGCACTTCGACCAGGGATCACCTTAGCGCGGAAGGAAGCACCTCAAGCGGGCCCAGAGGTCAGGACAGATCCACTTTGATCAAAGCTCTTGGCCAATCATAGTACAGTTTCAGAGCTTGACCTCTTCAGGGAAAAAAGTTCCAGCCTCGCGCCTGTGGACTGGACGACTGCGCCTCTGCCTCACGCGGCAATCTTCAACTCCATCGCCAATTGCCTTCTCTAGCCTGGGTTGACCATCATTTACGATTAGCCTTAACACGCCACGTGCAATCGCAATCATGAACGGCGACGGCTATTCTCGTGGTAAGTCTGCACGATGTCTAACAGACCTGTCTGTACCGGTGCCTCTGTGTCTAACAAACGCCTTTTGGGGGAAAAGGTCGAGGAAAGGGATCTCGCGACTATCCGGTATGTGTCCATCAGTCATGATGAAGTACCTGCACCCAAAGCTGACGCTTGATACAGAGAGAGCGCGATGATAGACGCGGTGGCGATAGAGACAGACACCGAGACCGAAGACGTTCCCGTTCCCCCTACGACCGAAGCTCCAGACGTCGCGAGGATGAGGACAGTTACGCGACAAGTCGCAGCCATCGTGAGCGTGAGCGTGAGGATAGATACTCTGGGCGCGAGAGGCGCGGTGGAGATCGAGAGTGGGATCGCGACCGCGGATCCTCCAGACGCGATGCCAGAAGAGACGACGACGATCGCCCGCGGAGAGATCGCGACCCGTACGACGACCGACGCCGAGGCGGACGAGACAGAAATGAGGATGCCGGATTTGGCCGCCGTGAACAACAACAGCAACGCCAACGCAGCGCGACGCCACCTCCCAAGAAGAGAGAGCCTACACCTGATCTGACAAACATCACATCAGTATTGGAGCGCAAGCGACGTTTGACTCAGTGGGATATCAAACCCCCCGGCTATGAGAATGTCACTGCTGAACAAGCCAAGCTGTCAGGCATGTTCCCTCTGCCCGGGGCTCCTCGCCAGCAACCCATGGATCCCAGCAAGCTTCAAGCCATCATGAACCAGCCAGGTGGCCAAGTTAACAGCGCTGCGCTGAAGCCGAGCAACTCGCGCCAGGCCAAGCGTCTGCTCATCAACAACCTTCCCCCATCCACAACCGAAGAAACCCTCCAGAACTTCTTCAATTTGCAGCTGAACGGCCTTAACATCATTGAGAGCACCGACCCCTGCACCAGCTGCCAAGTTTCGAAGGACAACTCCTTCGCCGTAGTTGAGTTCAGAAACGCTTCCGAGGCCACCGTAGCCCTCGCTCTCGATGGCATTTCGATGGAGGCCGACGATGCCACGAATGGCGCCGCCGGTAGCCAAGGCCTTGTGATTCGTCGCCCGAAGGATTACATCGTTCCCGCGGTGGTTGACGACGTCCCATATGAGCCGGGTGTCGTTTCCAACACGGTGATCGACACCCCTAACAAGATTAGCGTTGTGAACATGCCTCCTTACCTGTCAGACGAGCAAGTATCGGAGCTTTTGGTATCGTTTGGCGAGCTCAAGGCGTTTGTGCTTGTTCGTGATAGAAGCACAGAAGAGTCTCGGGTAAGCTGAGTCGCATTTGGCCATCATACGTACCATACTAACTATCCTTGCAGGGAATTGCTTTCTGCGAGTACGTTGATCCAGCAGCTACGGACGTCGCCATTCAAGGCCTCAACGGTATGGATCTTGGAGACAAGAAGCTCAAGGTTCAGAAGGCCAGTGTCGGCGTAACTCAAGTTGCTGGGGTGGAAATGGGAGTTGCAGCTATGTCTATGCTGGCTGGAACGACCTCAACTGACTCTGAGGAAACCCGTGTTCTGCAACTTCTGAACATGGTTACTCCAGAGGAGTTGATGGACCCTGACGATTATGAGGGTAGGCGTCAACATCTAGTTCTGGTCTTGTGCACACATACTGACAGTCTGCAGAAATCAAAGAGGACGTTCAGGAAGAGTGTGCAAAGTTTGGTAACGTGCTGGATATCAAGATTCCTCGTCCCGTGGGAGGCAGCAGACAATCTGCTGGTGTTGGCAAGATTTTCGTCAAGTTCGAGACCAAGGAGTCATCCAAGAAAGCGCTCCAAGCACTCGCAGGACGCAAGTTTGCGGATCGTACTGTTGTTACCACCTACTTCCCCGAGGTAAGAAGAGCCCCAGGATGGCATTGCGAGACAATTACTGACTCTGCTGCAGGAAAACTTCGAAGTCGGTGCCTGGTAACCATTTTCACATTGGGCACAAGGAACAGCGAGATAACATCACCAAAAAGGCAAGGCTCGGCGGAAAAGGGAAATTTAGGCCGATCATATTCTGACAGCCTTGTAACCATTGAAAATGCTGTATCATAATTCCGCGATGCGGGCCTCAGGCGACAGGGACGGGAGCACCCACCAAGTCGCAAAATTGCAGATGACTTGTGGCGGCTTCAAGCCGGCGCGGTGGAGGAAAATTAGGGGTGTTCTATAAAAACTTTCGACTGAAAACCATGGTTAAAGGTGTTGATTATACCTGCGTAATTGTATTTGCATCAATGGAACACTTCTATATGTTTGGTAGGTGTCGAAGTTCAGAGGTTGTGTTATTTTCGACTCCAAAACGTCTAGGCCTACAGCGTTCTTCAGTCACTTCGAGTCACAGGAGTTGGAACCATTCTTTTGCTCATGTTTTGATTTGCTATCTATCCAGGGGTTACGCTTCATCAAGGTTGACTCTGTGTGTATGATATTCTGATGCGCTTCACTTGAGGCGTCAATGAAGACCAGAATCTGTTCCAAGTGTAGACCTTTACAGCTTGTTAGCTTTCCGTTCAGAATTCGAATGATTGAAATTGAGAGAGAAAAGGTGCAGTATCAGAAGTCCTGTTCATTCATTAAGCCCGAAGACTTTAAAATAAGAGGTACCAGAAAAAAGTAATAATGGAGGATCATCATTTGATGCATAGGGGGTAAACGAGGAGCATACGTGAGCGATTCTTACCTGGGGGGGAGGATGTAGAGAGGCACCGCGAAGCAGCACTCAGCGGCGATGTATCTGATCTGTCCATCTCTCAAAGAGTTGAGGTTGAGGGAGCAAGAAGAAAAATCTTGAGCTCACGAAGCTTGAGGTAAGCAAAAGAGTGCACGGACCAAGGTGAGGCTGCTTGGCCCCGTAAATCCGGCCCAGTAGCGGGTCCTCCAAAATTTTTCAGACCAAGCCCAGACGGGACAAGGATGGTAGGCTGCGAGCTCGTCGTTGAAGCCAGCTGGGCCCAGCAGGAGGAAGGAGCACTGCACTCAAGCAGCTGCCCTAATTAAGCGAGGTTCTCCCGCCCGCACAATCCACCCCGTCCACGCCGACCGGCAGCCCGCTCAAACATATCGCAATTGATCGTGAACTTTTTTCCCTTCCCTTTTCAAATCCGACCAGCGACCGACCGACTGACCCCCTCGACTCCAGCCGACAACACCACAAACCACCGTCAAAATGGGCCGTCTTCACTCCAAGGGAAAGGGTATCTCCGCCTCGGCGATTCCCTACAGCCGCAACCCCCCTTCGTGGCTCAAGACCACCCCCGAGCAGGTCGTTGACCAGATCTGCAAGCTGGCCAAGAAGGGCGCTACCCCTTCCCAGATCGGTGTCATTCTCCGTGACTCCCACGGCGTTGCCCAGGTCCGCGTTGTCACCGGTATGTCGAAATCGAAATCTCCCAAAGTCTCTGCAGGAGAATCACAAAAGAAGAAGAATTCCGCAACTGACTATTTTCGCTCACTACAGGCAACCGTATCCTTCGCATCCTCAAGTCCAGCGGTACGATCCCAGTTATATGAACACACCAAGCGGCGACTTCGATGTCGAAAGATTATCAAAACTGTCCGCGAGGAGCAATCCTCTTTACTGCATTTAATGCGCCTCTGCTTGGTCTAGGCTGACAGAGAGATATGATGAACAGGCCTCGCTCCCGATATCCCTGAGGACCTTTACATGCTCATCAAGAAGGTAAGCCGTTGGCGCCGGAGACGGTCGTCTCTATCTGTTCGGAGGAAGACGCGGGTGAATAGCTAACCAATTGGGTGATACAGGCTGTTGCCGTCCGCAAGCACCTTGAGCGCAACCGCAAGGACAAGGACTCCAAGTTCCGCC